GCAGATGCAGGATCAGTGAGAGGCAGGAACTTGGAGGGCATCACCCAGGGGACGGTGGAGGGCTGGCCAGAGGTGCCTGACAAGAGCTGTGGATGTTGACGTTTAGAAAAGGTTTCCTGTTGTATAGAGACTTGTGGGCAAGAGCTGCACCCGCACCCTCTAATTTATTAGCAGTACTGCTGGCTTTGTGGTCAGCTAATTGTGGAGGAGGCTGTTCACTTAACAGTTTACTGATGTGTATTTCTTTTTTAATAATTATTCTTCCCTTTTTGCTTTTTTTGCTTTTTTTTAAAAAAATAGCCTGGGATGTCTCTGAGGCCTCCTAAAAATTAAAAAAAAAAAGCAAAGAAAAAGGTCTCCCTTTCCCATGTACTAATCTCTTGTTTGGGAATGCTCTGGTATTTAAAGTCCTGGTTTCTCTGGTGTACGAACTTGAAGACTATCTGTGTCAATGCACGTAGATGTTTACTCCCAACTGAGGTGCTGTGCCCCCCTCCCCGTTCCCCTTGTCTGGGGCCAGCACAAGCATTGCAGAGGCAGATGTACCCTCCTGTGAGTTTGACCTGCGTTGCTCAGGCTTCTCAGCCTGGGGCCAGCTGTGGCCCAGAAAGCTGGCGCTGGGGGTTTCTCTGTGCACTGACCTGCTCAGGGGTCCTGATAGTTGCCTGATTTCCTGCCAGGGTTTTTCTGGTGTTTTTGGTTTAGTTGGTTGGTTTTGGTTTTCCTATCGGGAAATTCCAGGATCTTTGCCCTGAGTGGCAAGTTCAAAGAAAATGGCTTCTACTGCTCTCAGTTATGTCTTTCAGGCTGAGAGGAAGAGTTGTTGACTGCTGCCTGCAAGGAGGAGATGATGGGAGGGAGCACCTTGCCAGCTATGGCTTCCTTCCACAGCCAGTCAAAGGCGTTGGTAGAGGAACCCCAGGGCCCTGCAGTAGCTGGGTGAGGGTATGTTATGGTGTAGCTCTGGTCAAGCAGCTGCAGTGTGTCTCCAGTGCCTGCTCTGAAAAACACCGTGGTAGCCAGAGTGCTTGGCCAAGACCGCTTTGGGGGCAGCAGAAAGCCCAGGGCTGAAATCCAACCCCAAATGCAGAGCCGTGCTCTACCCTCAGGCTTTGCGGTCCTGCAAGCGCATTGGTGGCTCTGAGCTTCTCCTGGGGAAAGGGGCAGATTTTGTAGGCTTGTACCAGGGATCTGCAAGCTGCCTGTCCAGGCGGGTGTTGGGTCACTCTGGCAGGTGCAGGAGTGTCACTGCATGAGGCTGAGCACAGCCTAGCGTAGTTGGCACTTGGTCCCCTGCCTTTCCCCTGGGACTTGGCCCTTCTCCCCCTCCCCACCCCAAGGCTTTTCCTGTCTCAGTACTCTGAAGGCTGGTGGAACTGCTGGGCAGAGATAAGAGCACTCTTTGGGATTCTGTCCTGTTGTTGCTTCCTGCAGTATTTTTAACTTCATCCCCGGAGTGTGATGTGCCTGACAGGGCAGGCCTCACCAGCAACACTGCCGTGCTCGCAGGGGATCGGGGCTGTTGGAGGGAGCTCTTCCCTCCAACTCCAGGGAGAGGTGCTATGGGCTGGGCCCTTCCGCTCCTCTGGCTCCTGGACCGATTCCTCTGCCCTTTTCCCCCTTTGTATCTGCTCCTCTATCTCTGGCTCTCCTCAGTAGATCTCCCTGGGTAGGAAGCACAGTGTTGGCCAGGAATAGCCAGGCCCTAAATTCTGTTACTGGGCACTGTATTTGTCTGATTCCCCCCGTGGGGCTTTGCAGTCCTGATCAGGGCTTTTCCAGGTGGTGAGTAGGTTGGCTGGTTCCAGTTATTCACTGTACAGAGCCTCTGCTTAGCCAGAACGTGGGCAGCAGGGGCAGGGGAGAGACCCTGGCACAGGGTGGAAGGACAAAGTGAGGGTGGAAGCCCCTTGGTATCAGTGTGCAAGCTGGGCAAGAACAGTGTCCAACAGTGTCATCTGTTCTCTCATTCTTCCCCGTACTGGGCTGTGACAGTGGCAGTGCCAGCCTTGGAGAGGGGAAGGGTCCAGCTTGTCTTTGATAACCTTTGAGAATGAAGGTGCTTAAGGAGGGAATACGGTGTCTTTGTGCGATGTGCTTACTTGAGCAGTGGAGGAGCCTGAAACAGGAGCTTCCTCTGGGTTTTCTGGAGCTGGTCTGAAGCAGGAGGACTGCTGAGTTCTCACTTTTATCTGTGCTGGTGGATGAGAAACACCTTGCAGTACCTGTCCCCTCTTTTCTTACACTTGTGTGTGAGGAGGATGTTCTGTCGCAAATAAGCCCTGTCCAGCTGGAGACGTTCCTCTTTCAGATTCATTTCTAGAAGATAGAGGAAACCCTTACCCTTTAGCACGGACATAGAGGAGCTGACAGCTTTTATCCTGGGCTGTGTGCGGAAGTGCTGTGTGCTGGTGAGGTCGCAGGCAGGATTGCTGCCCCTGTCTCCCTGCGTGAGGAAGTCTCCATGGCTCCTACGTCAGGTCGATAGTCACAAGCCTGTCCTCTGCGGAGAGCTGGAGCCCTCAGCTACCAGCTGGCAGAGATGGTTCAAGTTGCACGTAGGAAGGAGCGCACAGGAGCGAGGCACCAGAGGTGGCCTCTGCAGGGAGGGCAGGGGTACCGTGGGATTCATGCAGGAGGTGTCCTGCCCAGAGCAGCAGAGTTTGGGGGTTAGAGATGGACTTAGGGGGGCACCAGGGGTTCAGACTCTGGCCTGGAAGGTGGCATCTGTTTACCAGAGGAGTGTTTCGTACCGCTGCGTTGAGCTGCACAGTAGGCGAAGGGACTCCTGAACGTGGGCAGCTTGGCCGTTTGGCTCTGGCAGTGAGAAGTGTGGGTAGGAAAGTAATTTAACACCTCCCGCAGCAACCCTCCACAGCCTTAGATGCAGATGCGACCCCTGCACCCCCAGACACATTCCCTCGCCTCTGCCAAGCTTTGCCCTGCTGAGGGAGTGGTGTCCCACTCCAGGACTATCCCAGGCTACGGCTGTCCCACAACATCTTGGACCTTGTGCCGAACTGGGGAGGGAGCCGTGGTGTGAACTCCTCATGTGCCGCCACTCTGCTGGTCCCTCTGTGCAGTCCTTGCTGCCGCCCCGCATGCCTCCCCCCAGAGAGGAGGGGGTCCCCTCTTCGTGCTCTGCGATGGCGTTCCCTGCTCCTCCTCACAAACCCCGCTGTGCTTTAACGCCGGCTTGCTCCTGCCATGCAACTTCCTCACCCCCTGCTCCATTCTAGGCTCTTTGTTTCCTGTCCATCTGTTGGGTTATTATAATATATATTTTTTTGTAAATTTATGTTTGAACATTTTGTCATTGTGAACAAAGAAGAATGAAACCTTTTAAAACATATCCATTTTATTAAATGATTACTGTTATTATTATTAATAATGTTTACTACCTGAATTGATCAGTGAAATAAAGACATTCGAAAAACCAACCTCTTCCTGTTTAATTTTCAGTCCCCTTGAGCAGCACTGGTGATACAATATGGGCAGGAGAGACCAAAACTGACAGTTTCTCCGTTTATCTAATTCTGTCAGAGCAGGCTCCAGGCAGGGCTTCCTGCATGGATTTCTGTCCTCTTTATGTCAGAAGCTAGACAAGATGATCTTGAAGTTCTGTCTTTAAGCTCTCCCTAGGTGCAGTGTCGAAAGCAGCAATGGGCAGCTGAGCAGGATCCTGTCCCGGGAAATCCATTTTGTATGTAGCAAAAGGAGCATTCCGGAGTCTGTGCTGGATGCAGAGCCAGGATGGGTCTGGCCCTAGGTCAGCTCTATGCCACAGCTGGCCCGAACACCTGCCTGTGAATAAATGTAGCACCAAATGCACGAGACGAGGTAAGTTTGCTGAGCAAACATAGTCTGTGGTAGTCAAGCTGCTCCCAAGTGGAAAGCAGGCCCTACAGGAAAAACTAGGTTCCTTTGTTAATCTCTTTGCCTGCCTGCCACAGCAAAACAACTGGAATGATCTGCTCCAACTTACTGGAAATTTAATGCTTAATTGTTTTGTTTAGAGATTTTGGTTAGGGCTGAATTCTGCTGTTTACACCCTAAATGCACTCTAAATGAGGCAACAGTTTTGCTGTGTGATTTGGGTGGCCTTGTCCTAAGGAGCGTAGCCACTGCCTAGAGTCAGGCTGGTGGTACAAAAATGTCTGTGAAGGTGTGATGGCCTTGAGACAAGATTCTACCTAAATTCAGTTTTGGACTTATCTGTTCAAGTACTTGTGTAATGCAACTTTGGAATAAAGGATGTGGTCAGTCTTTCTCAGTAACTGCAAGCTGCACTCATCAAGAGCTGCCGACTCCCTTGGCTGTCAAAAGGGCAGTCCCTCGGGGCAGTGTCTTTTCCAGTCTCTTGTCCTTCCTATGATTCTAACCAGTTTATTTTGATGTAGACAGTGAACCATCAAAAGTTGTATTTTACCCCTGTAACAATCATGAGAGAATGCCTGGAGGATCTTTCTCCTTGGCTCAACTGTTGACACCAGTGTGGTCACTGGAAGTCCATTTCTTTCAGCAGATCTTCCACTGCTAATTAGGAGTGGATTTGTGCCACTGCTTCACGGGAAACCTTAGGGTCAGCACAGCGCTAAGTGCTAGGTCTCACCCCTCTGGCAAACACCATCTTCCTGATGAGATGGGAAACCAAAGGCCACAGTGCTCAGGGAGTGCGGTACAAACCGGTAACGTTACCCTTCCAGGTTGAAATGCCTTTTGAGTTGCTACTTTGCAGTTGAGACTGCGATGTTTCTGTTGGACATTTGGGCCCAGAATCAGAGTTATCACTAACTGTCAGCATCTCTCCCAGCAAACGTGTTCTTGAATGTAGTGTCAGCTCGTCTTTCATGGAAGACTTGCTCAGTGAAGCCTCAGCCTCTGGTGACGTGCAGGAAGGCCTCGTGGGAGGTGTCACTGGGATGAGCCTGACCCTTATCTTGCCAGCCAGTTGCAAGGGGATTATCTGGGAGCTCAGCTGTGCAGCTGCAGATGCTCTTGCACTGGCTGGACTGCCTTAAGACCTTCCTCTTGTGTTGTAAAGTCAGAAAGAAAGCAAGGCTTGAACTACTCTGGTAAGTCAACAAAGTTACCTTCCGTTCTTTTTCCTTTTCATTTGGCTGACAGACTGCACAGAAAAGCAGTGCCGTGTTGCACGTACGTGTAGCTGTTCTCGTAAAGAAGTTACAGCAGCTCATGTGTTCAGCGGTGACATGAGATTAATACGGACAGCTCATTGACCCATGTCTCCCAGCACAGTCACAGCTCCAGAAAGAGATTATTCACCTGCTGGAGCAATGTCTAGCATGGCAAACTCCACTGACCTCCACCCTTGGTGGTCAGCACCCTCTCTGCTGCCTAAGGACTGCTTATCACTTCTTTTCAAAACTGGAAAGGCTGTTTTTACTCTCTTGTGGTAACAGTAAATTAATTTCTGAATTTCTTCTTGAAGTTTGCATGGCCTAAGCTTTGCTTACAGATGTAATTCAGAACTGTAATAAGGCATGAGCAATTTTGTTCGATTCCTTGTCATAAATTTTCTTGGCTAGCGTAGTAATGCATCGCCAGTAATGCTGAAAATACAAGCAGCTCTTGTACACTTCTGAGGACCAGTGAAAATAAATTGAATGGCTGCAGCTAAGCCTGCCAGTAGCCATCTGTTCATATCCCTCTTAAATCCAGGGTTGGAAGACCAGGAACATTTCCTCTCCTGTAATGACAGACCAAGAATTTGCACATCTCTTTTAACTCTGTTCTTTTCAGAGCTCTCGCATCTCCCATGAAAGACACCAAATTCACCCAACTTTAAAAACTCATCCTCAGAACAAACCAACAGAAGACCTGGGCTGTGGTGTCAGTCCTAGAGTGTGTGGTGTCCTGGTCTCCACCTCAGTCTCACCAGGGGAGTGTGTGCAGGTGAAGATGAGCAGTGGAATTCTCTTCTTGTTCCTCCTTGGCTTCCTCCCGCTCGTGATACCCGCGTGCCCTGTGCGATGCAAGTGTGCCACCAACATTATCGACTGCACGTCGAAAGACCTAACTGTAGCAAAACTGCCAGCTGCTTTCCGCCCTTCGGCTGAAATTATCCACCTTGCTTACAACAGGCTCACCTATATTCCCAGTGGGCTCTTTGACAACCTAAGGAGCCTCCAGGTAGTCTATCTGCAGGGCAACCCTTGGGAATGCAACTGTGACATCCTCTACTTGCGCTCCTGGCTCCAGTGGCAGCAGAACCGGACCATATACAGGGATGTGAGGTGCGCCTCCCCAGCTCGCATGCAGGACCGGATCATTGCCTATCTGACAGAAGACGAGATCATCTCCACATGCCAGTACTGGTACTGCAGCCTGGCTCTCCTCTCTCAGCTCAGTCTCTTCATCCTCCTTGTCCTCCAGGGCATCTTGGTTATCTTCATCATTGTGTACCTGCGGAAATTTCGGAGAATGACTGCTGAAGCCTGGAGCACCTCCCAAGATCTACACCAGAACGTAGACACCTGGGTATCTCCTTCAAGAAGTCCCTACAACAGTGATTAACACCACAAGACTGAGGACTCTCCTCCCTCTTGGATGGTGCTCTGCCAAGGTCATGCGGTTTGTGATACCCAGAGGGGGTGATTCAGTGCAGTATCTGATCCTGACTGCAGTTCGAAACAGGGCTTGAACCGATCAGACACTGTTTCCAAAGACCTGATATTGTGGGTTTTTAATGCTTTAAACTCTCTAGCATGGTCTTGATCATGGTATCCCTTCATTGGTTTTGGAACAAAGCAAAATTGAAATAAAATTGTGATGCACGATGATATAAATGGCTTATTTTTTCCATTCTATGCTAGGTATCTAGCACTCTTGCGTGCTCCTGGGCAGTTTCTCATGCTCCCTTACGCTCGAGCCGTGCCCAGCAAAACAGACAGCGCAGGACATGTCACCAGGAGCGCACCATAGGCCTCAACTTCGGCAGCTCCCGGCTTCCACAATGGGCCAGTCTAAACGTGGAGTTTCTTCAGGTTCCACTAAGTTGCTGCTTATCTTTACAATGCGGCTGGTAAGTTTTTGGGTGCGAGCACACCTGAGGGGCGAGGGATGGCCTGAGGGGCGAGGGATGGCCTGCCAGGTGGCGATGGCCGCCCGGCTGTGGGGGAGCAGCCCCTCAGCCCCCAGCCCTGGCTCAAGGGGGTTGCTCCCCGAGGCCCTCAGAGGACATAAAACGGGAGCTCAGCCGCGAGAGGAGCCCC